ACACACACACACACACACACACACACACACACACACACACACACACATCTCCTCAGTGGAGTTTGGTCTCACTGTGGGCTCCTGTCAATGATGGTTTGCAAAAGGGCCCTTGGGTATACACGACTGGTAAGGAGCAAGTTTAGCTTCTCCAGTGCTGGGATTGTCCCCTCTCCTACTCCAGAGTGCACATCGTGATGGAGACCCCTCTTGAGAAGGCCCTGGCTACCATGGTCAGCACTTTCCATAAATATTCGGGGCGAGAGGGCAGCAAGCTGACCCTCAGTAGGAAAGAACTGAAGGAGCTGATCAAGACAGAGTTGAGTCTTGCAGAGGTAGGTGACCATTCTCTCTCCCCGCCACACGTTCTGAGCACTCCTTCTGGGAGATACCCACCTACTTTCAGGGTATTTTAGTCTAAGCAAGGGTCAGGATGTCTGCAGGGCCAGAGACAGAGGACGGGTGGACATCTCTGACTGCCAGGCCGCTATATCTCTGCGCTGGAGGAGAACTGGTTGCGCTGAAAAGGAGTCTGGGTAGACTCCTGCCTGTGGGAGGCCGTAGAATCAGGCAAAAGAGTCTTTGCTGAGAGGTTGCATAGCCTGTGTTAGGGATCTTGAGGGTTTGAGGGATGGGGGATGCCAGGTTTGGCTGTGTACAACTCAGTGACATAGATCCTTCTTGATTCTCCTCTGTGCCTGGCACAGCCAAGGTCCTAAATGACGTTGATAAGTAAATTAACAGGCTAATTGTGAGCATGGGGTAGGAAGGAGAGAGCACTGATTCTGATCAGATGGACATGATAGGAGAGGTCACTGGCTGACGTGAAGGTCTATGAGATAGAACAACTGAGCCTCGAAAACATCAAAGACCTTGTCCATTGGGTTGAGTTGGGATTCTAGGCCTCTGCACCAACCTCCTATTGATCTTTACAATAAAGTCCTGAATCTCAGTGTCCCACTTGGAGGGAAGGTTCTTGGAGTATGTCCATGGACAGGGTTGAAACAGGTGTCACAGTTCCTAGGCCTGTTTGTGGCTTCCTCAAGGCATCTGAAGGTTAACATTGAATATACATTTTTTTTTCTTTTTGAGACAGAGGTTCTTTATGTAGCCTCGGTTGTCCTGGAACTCCCTCAGTAGTTCCTTACCAGGCTGGCCTCCAACTCACATAGATCCCCCTGCCTCTGCTTCCCGAGGGCCACCACACCTAGCCTGACAGATACACATTCAATGCCAGAAACCATTCTGTTTTCCTGGAGGGTAGAGGCAAGGGCCTCTGGCCCATTGGTACTAATTACTGGGGACCAGGAGCATGTCACAGAGAAGCAGCTTCCAGCATCATGGGCATCAACCTCCTACCTCCAAGGGAGACAACAGAGGGCAGGGTCTGCCTGTCTGTGTTTTCTTGTTCTACCCTAAGGCTCTGTCTTCAACATCCTAGTGGACCCAGGGTGCAGGGACCAAATGGGAGGACATCGGGTGCCAGGTTGTCCTGGGGGGAGGGGACATGCTGGCCTCTCAGATCCAGTGATCTTAGAGAAAGTTGTGATGTCTGGGCCGTTTCTCAGCTTGGCTTACAATCCGGGCAGGCTAGGTATGGGGCTTGGATGATGCTCCAGGCCTCAAGCTGTTCTTAGTGGGTATTGGTGTACATTATAGATTATTGTCTCTCTGCACGGGAGGATGTCCCAGGGGCAGGGGGTACACTAGCCTTCCTACTGTAATTCATTTGGAATCAGTTCTCAGGTCACTGACCCTGATTTGGTGTCAGGTCCTGTGGTAAAGGTGGGTTTGGGCTGAACTGCTGAGCAGTCTCCTCCCCTTGGGCCCTTGCAGAAGATGAAGGAGAGCAGCATTGATAACCTGATGAAGAGCCTGGACAAAAACAGCGACCAGGAGATTGACTTCAAGGAGTACACCATGTTCCTGACCACGCTGTGTATGGCCTACAACGACTTCTTCCTGGAGGACAAGTGACAGGTCCTCTCTACCTTCAGCGGCAGCGCCTCATCCCGACCTCTGATCTCTGCAGCTTCTTTAACTGCCCCCTCCTGTGGTCCCCTTCTCTGTCTCCCAGATGGATTATTCCAGCAGGGAAATAAAGCCCTTTCCTTTGCGCTGGTGTTGAGGTGGTTTGTTTCCCTTGTCTGAGGCAGGGGAGAACAGACATTTGCATGGATCCGTGTCAGGCCACACACAGGTGGTCTATGGGCACAGAGGCTGGGCTCTCACTGCACAACGCTGGCTGTCCTCTGCCGTGGGCATTGTTGAACTTGTCCTGGCTTTGTTCTGCACTCCTGTAAAATAACAAAGCTGCCCAGACAGCAGAGATTCAGGGAAAACAATGAGGAAGAGCACTCTGGGAGTGAGAAGGTCAGAGCGGCAGGCTGTGGCTACCAGTGCAGTGACGGCCCAGCAGGTCTGACTCAGAGTTAGCCCAGTGAAAAAGGGAGCCCGAGCTGCTGCCGTCCTCCCCACCCGGCCTGGAGCAGCCTTCCCACTTCTCACAGAAGGGTGACTTCAGCAGGCTGCTCCCTCCCCCTCCCCCGCCAACTTCCTCTTCTCAAGACTTCTTCCGAAGAAAATGTTCAAAACTTTCCCCTTACGATGAGTAACCTAAGGATGCTCACTAGGCTTGGCTCCACTGTGGCACATTAATGTACACACTGCTCTAAGGATGAAGTTCTAGGCAGCGAGCGGGAGGAGTCAAGTGGTGGTGTTAGAAATTTATTGTTCGTGGGGGATGGTGTTTGAAATATTTTAGACTGTGCCCCACCCCCTTTTTTGAGACGGAATCTTATATCGCTCAGTTTGGCTCAAAAATCTGCCTTCTGGGATCGATATAGCCCCGAGTATTATAGACCAGCGGTTCTCAACCTTTCACAGGGGTCGCCTAAGACCATCGGGAAACACAGACATTCACAGTGTGATTCATAACAGTAGCTAAATCGCAGTTATGAAGCAGCAACGGAAATAATTTTGTGGTTGGGGGTCACCACTGAGGAACTGTACTAAAGGGTCGCAGCACTAGGAAGGCTGAGAACTATCTCAGACAACGTGGTAGACTTTTGGTTGCTTCCCCTCCCTCACTTGGAGGGGCAACGCCATCGGTGAGGCTCCCACTTCCTCTCACACTGGTGCTAACTTGAAGGACACTTTGCGCTCAGGCTGACAGGAGGTCCAGCACACAAGCCTAAGTCACGAGTGCCAGAGGGCAAATTAAACTACAGAATTAGCGAAGACGCGGTGCCTCCAGCTTGTACTGGTCTCCTCTGGGCCCCGTCAGGGTCCGCTAGGCTTCCTCATCCCGCTTCCCGCAACAGAGGCTTGGAAAGTTTAGGGGGCTGGGGCGTGTGTGTGGCTGGCCTCAGGCGCTGGGTGGGGCTGGGGCGGGCCGGCACTCCCTGGGCGGGCCTCACCCGTGCTGGCCCGCTATAAGGCCAGCCGGACTGCGACACAGTCCACCTCCTCGGCCACTCCTTTGGCGCTTTGCAGTCTTCGGCGCGGTGAGCTCTCGCTGGGGCAGCCCCTGGTTCCTCTAGGGTCGGTCCACTCCTGGGCTGGGTGTCAAGCCACTTCCTGCCCCAGTCAGCTCCGCGGGCTCCGCGGGCTCCGCGGGCTCCGCGGGTTCCGCGGGTGGTCTGCATCGGGATTCCGGTCTTCCGAGCCGAGCCGAACCCCCGGGAGGCAGGGATAGCCATGATCAGCGGGGCTGTGCCAGACAAGACCCGAGGCTAAGGCATCCCTATGGGGCGGCTCCCCAAGTTTGCCTTCCTGGGGTGCGGGAGGGCTTGTCCTGGGTGTGTCAACGCCGTCGCAGTGTGTGGCCCTGTCTGGAGGTGTCCAGGGGCAGCCTCCATCTCCTCCCTTGCTCAGTCACATGTCCCAGTTTTCTCGCCATGGAGGACAGAGCTCAGACACCTGAAAGCTGGTTCCATCCTTTCACTCCTCGCCCCAGTTTCCCTGGCTGCCACCTGTGTTGGCTAGGGGCTAGCTGCTTCAGGCAGGTTGTCACCCGGCTTAGGGGGTGGTGGGAGGTCTCTGCTACCAGCAGCACTGAATTGCGCCTCTGTCAAACAGCTTCTTCTAGCCCAGTGGTCAGCCATGGCATGCCCCCTGGATCAGGCCATTGGTCTTCTCGTGGCCATCTTCCACAAGTACTCTGGCAAGGAGGGTGACAAGCACACCCTGAGCAAGAGGGAGCTGAAGGAGCTGATCCAGAAGGAGCTCACCATTGGCTCTGTGAGTACCCGGGCTCCCCCTCCCTCTTGTCCTTCCCAGTTCCTGCTCTGACTTCCCTTGGAGGGAAGCCTGCATGCTCCCAGCCTGCTGTCCCTGAGGGAGGAGCGGGGACTGAGGACAAGAAATCAAGGCACACGCAAGCTGAAGGTCACAATGGTCCTGATGAGCAGAGCCACTTAGATGAGAGAGGCTTCCAGGGAAGGGAAAGGGATCTGGGGTGCTGGCCTCCCCTGAGTGTGGACTTGTTCTAACATATTAGAAGCTGGAGGATGCTGAAATCGCAAGGCTGATGGATGATCTGGACCGCAACAAGGATCAGGAAGTAAATTTCCAGGAGTACATCACCTTCCTGGGGGCCTTGGCTATGATCTACAATGAAGCTCTCAAATAAAATGGGAAGGTGGAGCTCCCTCTGGGGGCGGATCGCAGTCAAATCCAGTGGTGGGTAATTGTACAATAAATATTTTGTTTTTGGTACATCTACTCATGCGTTCTGGCTTCCCACTGATTTCCAGTTGCTTCCTGGCTTGCTGATGAACTCACCATTGGGTGGTCTCAGCCACGGTTAATCTCTGGCATTCATTGACCCACCTGGACAAGGTCTGCTAGGACTCTCATTGGGCATCAAAAAGGTGCTTCCTCTAGGCAAAGCCAGCTTAAACAAGGGCTCAAGTGATCTCCAGGAGAGAGGGCCTGCTGTGTGATAGAGTTAGGGGCCTCCAGGGCTGCAGTGGTCCAAGCTGTCTCCTGGGAGTTGTGCTCTGGTCTGGGTGTGGTGGAAGGGGAGTGCATGGACCCTGACACTGGGCAGTCTACCCTTTCACTGTGTGCTTGTGTGTTTTATGAGGAAAGGCCAAGGAGCCTGAGGGGACCGAGGACAAGGAATGACTGAGTTTTCTGCAGCTGCCTGTGTTCTGGTCGGAGGTAGGGCACACTTGAGGAGTCTGTCCCTAGGTTCATGCATGGGGTCCTTTTTCTGTTGGGCTGGCAACTCCATGAACGTGTGACTCATGAGGTATCACAAACAGGGCAGGGTCGGGGTCCTTGGACATGCCAAATGTGGCTTCAGGCCTTTCTGTCAATATTGACCCAGCTTGTCCCTGAAGAATGACTCACAGGGCTACTCCCCTGGAATCCAGTTGAGCCCTCAGTCCTCATCAGATCAGATGGCCAACTGAGTACTGTCTACTGTGTACATTAACACTTAAATCACAGGGGTGGGGAAAGCCGTTGTGTGTCTGGAGTGTCAGCATTTACTGATAGTCCTTCCCGGAAGGCCTAACCCACATTGGGCAACATCCTGGCCCAGACCTGAGGGGAAACGACCTTGACTTCATGTGGAGAACACAGCTGTTTTCTCTTCTTGCCTCCCCACCTTCTCCAGTCAACCTCAAGGCGTTAAGTCGTCTTCCCTCGCTCTGGGTAAAGGCTGGTAAACAGCAGCCACCACATCTCTTAAAACCTTTCTTTTCTAGCAGAGTCTTACCACACTGCTGAACGGCGAGAGGGCCCTCGGGCTAAGTTCTAGCTATGCTGTTCAGCATTGGCTCTATTCAGTGGTTATGGAAAAGTACGCCTTACGTGCTCGGCCACACCCAGTTGTTGATACTTGGGGGTGTGGAGTGATCGCCCTCTTGTGGACAGAGAGCAGGTTACGGGTAGGGAAGTTGGGGTTGGGAGGAGGAGGAGGTGATGGTGGTGGTAAGCTTGCCTAGGAAGAGCTGGTTTTCTGAGCCTCCAGGAAGGAGCAACGGCCCCGCACCGGGATGGGAGCCAAAGCTCAGGGGGTCTGAGCTGATCAAGTGGGGGCCAGAGTTAGCTATTCAGGGAATGTCAGGGTGATGTCCCAGCAATCAACTCGATTTCATTAAAGGCACATCTGTTATAAGCTAGTGAAGGAAGGAAGGTTTCTGAAGAGACAAGCAGAATTCAATCCCCTTTCCACCCTCTCTTTCCAGGGTTAGAAGATCAAGACAGTCAGGTGGACGTTTGGAGGTTGAGGGGCAGTTTTTTTTCGGGGTTCAGAGGCTGGTGGTGGAAGAAGATATTTGTTCTCTCAGGAGGCCAGCTGAACCCCAAGGCTAGAGAGGAGCAGAAGGTGCAGAGGCCATCTGCTAAATAAAACTTTACCTCACTGGGTGTGATGGTGCGCATCTTTAATGCCAGGAGGCAGAGACAGATGGATCGCTGTTGAGTTTGGGGCTAGCGTGGTCTACCAAGAGGTTTGCAGGCCAGTCAGGGCTGCCCTGGGAGACCCAGTGGGCTTTTGAAAAAGAACAAAACAAAATAAAGAGAAATAAAGCAAGTAGCAAAACTTTTGTCTGTGTTAAGGATATAGTTTAAAATTGAAAGGCGAGTCGGCATTTACACTGGAAATTTTGTTGGGTGCAGCAGGCAAGGGGGCGGAACTGGGTGCGGCCAGGTGCAGACTATTTTCATTAGTTCAAAAGATTTCAAGTTGGCTCTTGAGCATGGTCTAGGTTCCCAGAAAGGGGTGGGAGCTGGGGACTTCGAAGCAGATTCTTTCCCTGCCCAGGACTATACACCGGAAGGCTGGGTGGGGGGAGTGGCCCTGCTCCTCCCCTTGCTGTAGTCCAGGCTCTATTCTTTCCTTCCCCTGCAGAAGTGGCAGTAATCCCACCCTTGCACGCATGAAGCTGGAACAGCAGCAACAGTTTTCATCACCTGGAAGTCCCCTGGGTTGGGGTGAGGCTGGGGCTGTATCCCCTATCCTCTGCCAGGCATGTCTGAGCTGCCGAGACCAGCAGCACCTTCGGTGCCAGTGTCCCACGGCATTTGTATTTGCACAAGGTGCTACTATCCCTACTGTGGCCTCAGCCCCAGGAGAGTTATGTTAATGTGCGTTACTGGAGAGCAGAGCCGCAGAGTGCCCACCAAGGTGCACAGTAGAAGTTCTTGGAGGAACTGAACTCTCCTGATCCCAGGCCAACTCCTCAGCGCTTCCTTCTGCTGTTTCAGGAGTTAATTTCACCATTTCTCCCTCATCCCTTTCTCTTAAATGTTTTAATTGAATGTCAAGGATATACAAATGGCCTATAGACTACACCTAAAATATAAAAATTACAACATAAAGGACCTGGTTTAAGAAACAAATATTAGCTGGGTAGTGATGGCACACACCTTTAATTCCAGCACTTGGGAGGCAGAGGCAGGTGAATCCCTGAGTTTGGGGCCAGCCTGGTCTACAGAGTGAGTTCCAGAACAGCCACAGCTACACAAAAGACCCTTGTCTCAAAAAACCAGAAACCAAACCAAGCAAGCAAGCAAGCAAGCAAACAAACAAACAAACAAACAAAAACTAAAACCATTACCTGGAGAAGCTCGTTTTAAAATTCTTTTTTATTTGGGGTTCCTTAAAGCTTCTTCCTTCTAACCCCCCCCAACCCTAGGTAGGAAAGAGAAGGTTAGTGGGGAGAGGGGGATCAGACTCCTTTACTTCTCCAGCTGTTTAGGGTCGCTGGGTTCTTTGGGGGCCATACCAATCTCCATTGCAGCAAAAAGTCTCCTCCTTGCCACAAAGTCGCCACTTTGCCACAGAGCATCTCTCTCCATCTGTTCGCTCCAAATCGCCATGCCTCTGACCTCTCCAAGCTGTCACTGGCACAGGCCACATGCCACCACTGCCTGTCACCACCCTCCGAGCTCCCCTATTTGTCTTCCTCAGAGCCCTAGCCCACACCCCTCTCTGTGCTGCATGAGGCAGGTTGTGACTAGCTAGCAAAGACCACACTCCACAGGAGGCAGTTATCTATGGACAAACTAAAGCCCAAACTAAAATTCTAATTTGGGATTAAAACAAAACCATATTTACACAACATAACTGAGTTTATAAAGAAACCAAAACTTCATTACAACCACCATCACCACCAACAACAACCAAAAAAAAACACCAAAAACCAAAACCACCACCACCAACAAAACCAACCCAAACATTTGGCTGAGATGGATCAGTGGGCAAAGGCATTGGTTGTCAGGCCTGCTGACATGCAGTTAACCCCCAGGGCCCACATGGTAGGAGGACAGAATTGACCCCTGTAAGTTGCCTCTGACCTCCACATACATGCTGTGGTGGTACGTGTGTGAAATAAGAAAAATGATATAATAAAAAAAAAGGAAACAGGATTGGGGCAATAGTTCAGCAGAGGACTGGAACTGGGTTCACAGCAGCTATATGGGGCAGCTCACAATGTCCTGAACTCTAGATTCAAGGGATCTGATGCTCTCTTCTGGCCACTCTAGGCATGTGCCCGTTTTATTTTCTCCCAATACATACACATACATCTTATTTAAAATGAACTCAAATCTTTAAAAGAGAGAAACACTGTAACAGGTATAGAGTTTGATTAATTTTCTAGAGTGTCTCAAAGAGCCAGAGAAACAACATTTGTGCACTGGTTCATTAAGGGTCTAATAAAGGAAGCAGATGGACAGGCAGATGGAAAAGATGCCCCAGGCGAGGCATGGGAGGAGTGAAGCACTCTCCTGGCCTCTCTAGGCACTCTGCACTCAGGGGACCTCTCTATAATCAGCTATCTGAGCCCTCTTATTTATTTTATTTAGACGGAGTCTCATATAATTCCAGAAGGCATTGACCTTGCTATTTAGTTGAGGTGGGTTTTGAGTCCCTGATCCCCCTTCCTCTCCCTTCTGAGTGCTAGGATTACAGGTGCACGTCAACACACCTGGCTGAGCCTGATCCTCAGGTTATTTATGGAAGCTTTATTAGGAAGCATGATTGATTACATCCCTGGCCACAGACCGAGTTTGCCTTCAGCCTTGGAGATTGGCAGGTGGGGATGAAGGTGCCAGTCCTCTAACATTGGGGTCTCTCTGATGACCAACTTCACCTTATTTCCAGCCGTTGGGCATCTCATTAGCATACCATCCTAGTCAGGGTTACCGCTGCTATGATGAAACACCATAACCAAGAGCAAGTTGTGGAGGAAAAGGTTTATTCAGCTTGCACTTCCACACAGCAGTTTACCATTGATGGAAGTCAGGGCAGGAACTCAGACAGGGCAGGAACCTGGAGGCAGGAGCTGATGCAGAGGCCATGGAGGGGTGCTGCTCATTGGCTTGCTCTTCATGGCTTCTCAGCCTTACAGAACCCAGCCTAGGGATGACAGCATCCACAATAGGCTGAGCCCTTCCATGTCAATCACTAATTAAGAAAACGCCCTGCAGCCTTCCCTACAGCCTAATCTTATGAGAGCATTCTCTCAATTGAAGTTCTCTTCTCTTCTCTCAGATGACTCTAGCTTGTGTCAAACTGACATGAAACTTGTCCGCACACACACACAACTCTTTCCTATCACCCCGTGGATTCCAGGGGTTTCAGAATCCATGTGTCTGGAATGAGAGGAAGACCATCCATATACTCCACAATATCACAGTAGGTCTGTTGCTGAGTCTCTTTTCTCTTTTGTCAACTGACCTGCATCAATTCCAGTACTATGCATCCT